AAATCTCGGCCAAAGTTAAAAAATCAAAATTTTCAGGCGGAAATTTCCGGAGGTCATGTGATATTCCGTAAATCGACGCCTAATTAAATTTCCTGATGTAATAAAGATAGTATATATTGAAAAATAAAATTGTTTTTTCAAATAACCAGAAATTCATGTATTTAATTATAGATTTAAATATTTTAAATATAAAATTTTTTTATTTATATTATAATTATTTTTCTAATTTATATTGAAAAATAGATAATAATCATAAAATACCAACAATATTGTATAATATATTGTTGACCGTGATTACCTTTACTAAACACAATTAACTAATAACTGATAACAAGAAAACTCTTGTTCAAAAGATCACAAAGCAATTGGACAAATATGTTATAGTTAGAAGGTTTTATATTTGAAGAGATATAAGGAGTAAAGGATTTGATGATGTAGGTTTGTTCGAAAGAGGTTAAGGTATGAGGATTTAAAGGAGTATGAGGTTTAAACAATATAACACTAAGTTTACAAATATTTACACAGAATATTATAAGTTTTACACAGAAAGTATAAGAATTCACATAAAATTAAGATAATTAATCAAGATTACGAAGCAAGGTTAATTATAAACAGAATAATATCGAGATTACAAAGTAAAATATTATTATCAAACAGTATATCACTAAGAATTCAAAGGTTTCAAATTATTACTTGTCACAAAGACTTTTATTAATAATTTATTACATATATTGAGTTCAGAATATAATCAAGTTCTAACTGTCCTAACTCTAAGGACAAAAGCTACCTCTATTTATGCAAAATTAACATCCTGTCATAAGACTATAATTACTAATCTCAAGAAAGCTCCAGAAATTTCCGTTACATTCCAGGATATTCTATAAGCTATTTTTGCTAATAAGTTATTTGTACTAAAGGTGTTGACCAGAGGTGTTAACCAAAGATATCAACCAGAGGTATCGACCTTGTGTTATAATTAAAAATGATCTATATCTGTTATTCGTAAATAATAGTACTAATATAAATGTTATACAAATCAAGAAATCTAACTAAAATATGTTATTAAATATAATAATGTTAATAATAAATATACATATATAATAATTAAAGAAATAAAGCTAACAATATATAAAATAAAATATGATGATACATTTTGGAAATATTTGAGTTATTTTAAATTCTGAAAAAAATGAGATGGAAAAATATGTATATATAAAGAATCGAAATTCTTCTATCTTTATAAAATAAATCCTAGAATATTTAAAAATTTTTGAAATGTCACAAAGAACTTTAATTAGCTTTTATCAAAAAAAAACAAAAAAGAGATAAAGATAGAATTTCTAGTTTTTTATCTGGAAGATCAAGTTTTACTAAAGCAAAAAAAGGGACTTCAGCTCAAGCAGTATTTACTCCAGCAACAGAATCAATGTCAGCAGCAGCATCAATGTCAGCAATGAGAGGAGAGACTGAAATGGAAGATGTGTTGATATTAGATGATGATGAAAGATGAACATCTCCATCATTGCAAGCAAGAAAATGAAGAAGAATGGAAATAGGAAGAGAAGACCAACATTCTGATAGTAATTTTTCAAAAATTTTCATATTAAAATATTTAATAAAAATATCAAGATTTTTATTGAAATCGTGAGAAATTTAAATAACCTAATTTATCCAAATTCAAATAATAATATAAAAAATAAAGTCTGATTCTTGAGAAATTTAAATAATCTAATTTACCCAAATTCGAATAATAATAAAGAGATTTTATTGAAATCGTGAGAAATCTAATTTATCCAAATTCGAATAATAATATAAAAAAATAGAGATTTTCATTGAAATCTAATAATAATATAAAAAAAAAATAGCAATATTAATAACCCGTAAAGGAAATTTTTGGTGAAAAAGGAAAACAAAAGATTCTCAAATATGTAAAGTACCACGTGGAATGTGGAATTACGAACTATTTATGCTTTTTTTTGGGTATGTAATATGTAATGTAAGTAACAATTTGAAAGAATACATATTCCAGTAATAAATGATCAAGAATTAAAGATAAAAATTATAAAAAATTGAATCATCTATTATCTCATTTTCATTTATTCTATACAATTACAATTTTTGATAATTTCCTTTTATATTAATAAAGTTTTTATTATTAGCAAAATAACTTATCAAGTGTTAATAATCAACCAACAAAGATACAACGAAATAAATCTTTAATAATACAATTATTGAGAAATTCGAATCAGAAATTACATTATCCTTTGAATGGTACGTAGGCAAGAATTAATGAGAACAATATTTATTGTCTTCAGATAGTCTGGAAAGCAATTTATGTGAGAATGTCACAAATTGATTTAAAAATATTAGAGAATTGAATTTTAGTAATTGTTGCAAGGTAAATTTTTTAATTGTAAAAGATCTTAATTTTATTTGTTTGTTTGTTTCAAATTAATTAAAATTATTATTTTTATTAATATTTTTGTAATTTATGTAATTAAAATTAATTAATTTTTAGATTATGTTTGAATTTATTCTATTCACGATTTTTTTTAAGATACAGTAAAAACATCAGATTAGACTAATTTGAAAAACTTCATTGATGATGATTTCTTTCCCTCGTCATTCAACACCTCAAGTTCTATAATATTGTGCCAATCGTTATTCCAGAATGGATTTGACTTTCACTAGAGATGGTACTTTAAATAAAAAATAACTTTCCTCAAAAACATTAGAAGATTATCTATAATAATTATGAATAAGAATAAAATATATAAGAACCATGTAGGAGAGATAAAGCAAATATATGAGAATCATGCAAGAGAGAGAGATAAAGTAAATACATAAGGATCATAGACAAGAATTAGAAGATAAAAATACAGAGATAATGAAATTAATGAATGAAATAGCCGAGTTACATACGTGATCGTATAGCAAGAATGTTCAAACTCGAAGGAATCTATGATGTTAGGTCAGCCTTGGAGTACATCAGGGAACGGGTAAATTTTTTATTTCACATCATAAATAAATATATATATATGTATATAATATATTGCATTTTATTTATTATAATTTCTCTTCAATAGATTCGTTTTCAAGAAAGATATATATTATTGATACCACATTATAATGGTTATCTGAACAAGAAAATTTTTAAAACAAACAAGTGAATTAGCACATTTTCGTATTCTGCAACTTAAGAAAGAAATATGTTTTAGCAATCACTTTTATAACTTACATTCTCTAGGCTCAAAATAATATGTATATCGAAAATGTAATCAAAAGTTATTCATGCAAAAGAATGGGTGGCAAATGAGGTGATTTGCCTTGGGTGTCATTTTCAAATATTTTCATGTTATTTTTTATTATTGGGATGAGTTCAAAAATAGACTCAATTATGTATGCAATAAAAAATTACAATTTTGTATGATGGATTTTACGTGTCATCTTTTGATCAAAATGTGTAGCCTTTATGGCAATCTTTAATAGTTTTAAAGTTGGACTTTCCAAAGTTCAATGAAAAAAAATGGCATCAATGAATTCAAAAAATAACAATTATCCTGTTAATTATTTCATTTTTTGCTGGTTTTATATCATCTTTCAATGTTCTATTCAAGAGTAGTAATTAATATTCATCACGATCACAAGTTTTTTTTTTTCATTTTCTTTTTTAAAAGGTTTATAAATTATAATTTGCCATAAAACACTTATTACAGAGCTTATGAATTGATGATTTCAATTAAAATAGTTAGGGTTTGGTTGTAAACCAGCAAAAAATTGGTCCAACCCAACTCCCTGACTTTTATTATCCTTTAATCTCATAAAATAATAATAATAATAATAATAATAATTACGTCTAGTACTTCTTTGTAAGTTCAATGGTAATAAATAATTATTTAAATATCACATGACTATATTTCGTGAGGTGGATATAAAAGGTAACAAACAAATCTTTATATATTCTAAATCTTAAATGCATATATTTTTATATTTTTCATTTTTCATTTTATCACACGAGATTACGAAATTACGAGATTAGTGTTGACAAACAAGGAATTAACGATTAGAGAGTAAGACTAATTAAAGCAAAAAATTAATTAATTAATACGAGACCAAAGAAGAGTATTACAACAATTCCTAGATTAATAAAAAAAAAAAAATAAATAAAAGAAGAATATGGAAGGATTCTCGAGAAGTATGGCTTCTACAGCATTAAAACGCCTGATGACCGAATACAGAGGTACTTTATACTACTTAATAATAATTTTGTTATCACTTTCTTCTCTTTTTCCACGATAATCACTACTATACCATTACCTCCTTCAATAATTTTTATAAATTTGTAAGTTTAAAATATTTATAATATTTATTTTATTTTTATTTTTTTTTTTAGAGTTGACTCTTAATGCACCTGATGGGATAACTGCAGGTTAATTTCATTTAATTTCTCTCTCAATTATTACAAATTATTAATTAATTAATCAATTAATTTCTCTCTCAATTATTATAAATTATTAATTATAATTATTATTATTAATTAATAAATAAAATAAAGGTCCCGTAAATGAAGAATCATTTTTTGAATGGGAAGCACTTATTGCGTATGTATATATATATTATAACTCTTATAACATGACAATAATAATAATAATAATAATAATAATTTATAATAATAATAAATTATAATTAAAATAAATAAAAGGGGACCCGAAGGAACACCTTATGAAGGAGGAATCTTTGCTGCAATACTTCGATTTCCTACTGATTATCCTTTATCACCACCAACAATGAAATTTACTTGTGATATGTTTCATCCTAATGGTATGTAAAACTTGAATATATTTTTATTTAATCTTATTTTAATGTTATTTTATTTATTATATTATTAAATTATTATTATTCAAAATTATTATTATTATTTATCTATCTATATTTAGTTTATCCTGATGGATTAGTTTGTATATCTATCCTTCATCCACCTGGTGATGATCCGAACATGTATGAAAGTTCATCGGAACGTTGGTCACCAGTTCAAAGTGTGGAAAAAATTTTATTAAGTGTTGTTAGTATGTTGGCTGAACCGAATGATGAAAGTGGTGCTAACATTGAAGCTTGTGTAAGTTTATTATTATTATTATTGTTGTTATTGTTATCATCATTATTTATTATTTACTATCAATTATTAAATATTTATTTATATATTTATTTATTAATATTATTATTAATTTATAGAAAATTTGGAGAAATAATCGTGAGACATTTAATAACATTGTTCGTGAAAATGTGAAAAAATCATTAGGATTATAAAATATATGAAAATCATATGAAATATATAAAAATCATATAAAATATGTAAATCCATATAAATCCATCTAAAATAAATTATTTAATTGTATTTTATTTAATTTTAAAATATTTAATAGAATAAATTTAATCAATCAAATAATCTATTTTGATTTTTTAAAAAATTTTATTTTATTTTTAAAATTTTACAAAATTGTCTCATTATTCTTCTTTTCCTTCTTCTTCCACTTCTCCTCCCTCCCCTCCCCCTCATTTCACTTCTTTCTTCTTCTTTCCCTCTTCTCTTCCTTCCCCTCCCTTCATTCATACCCATTCATTTATTTTAACACATTCATTATTCACTTTTATCCCTTACTCCTTTTTATTTATAAAATGGTTTTCTAAAAACATCCAGAGAAATATATATAAAAAAAAAACTAATGAAAAATAATAATTGTGAATATACTAATTATGCCATACCCTTTTTTATATATATATAATTATATATAATATCATTTCATTTTTTTTTTCATAATATTTTTTGTGTACTAGTGATTATTTCAATAATATATTTTTGATAAAATGTGTAATAAAAATAATAAATTGTTGATTAATATTTAAGTGAAAGTAAAATTTGTGAAAGTAAATTTGTGAAGATTGGATTGTTGGTAAAAAAAAAAAAAAAGTCATAAAGGTAATTAATACTTTTTTAATAATAATAATTTTTAATTTTGTGATTTTTTTTTTAGTAAAAATTGGGATTAATAATTTTCGATATAAATTTTTATATAAATTTTGTGATTTTTTTTTTTGATAAAAATACTGTACGTGATAAATGCGATAAAGAAAAAAAAATGATATTTTTTTAGATATGAATATATATTGTAAATGTAGTATGTGTGCTAATACATCTACAATATATATGCACACAAATATATATATATATATATATATCGCCCTTATATATCTCATATAATATATATATATATTAATGAATTCAAAACTTTTTTGATAATCATCATTATTTTAGGTTTTTGGGTTTTGTTGTTGCTGTTTGGTGGTTGTTTTTTTTTATTGTTTTGCTTTGTTATTGTGCTGTTGTCACTGTCACAGGAAATAGTCGGGGGCTGGTTTTTTTGCTGGTAAACCACGAACTTCCTATATATTCAATTATTAAAATTATTAAAATTATTAAAAATTATTAAAATTATTAAAAATTATTATTAATATTAAAATTATAATCAATTAAAATTTTTGTATAATAATAATAATAATCATATAATCATTACTTGAGGAGCCGCATCAAATTTTTTATAATTTTTGTTTAATTTATCATCTAACTCTAGAATAGCTGCAACATTACCACATCTTTAAAAAAAAAATTATTTTAATTAATTAAACAATTAAAAATAATTAAAAGAATAATTAATTAATTAAAAATAAATAAATAATAAAAAATAAATAAATAAATAAAAAATAAATTAATTAATTAAATTAAATACCTATAACAATAATTTGGTGCAGACCATACTGTTACTATGGTATCATTAAACATTAATCTATATCCTTCCATTACCAATTGATGAGCACGTGCAATTAATTCCAGATTGTTGTTATGTAAATACTATCCATATATATATAATTATAAAAAATAATTAAAAATAATAGTAATAATTAAATAATAATCATAAAAAATCCTTACTCGCTCTACGACATCTCCACCAAATAAATATCCCGCGCCACGAGGACTCAATCCCCATCCTTCAATATCTAATATCAATAAATGTTAAATAAATAAATAATTAATTAATATAAATAATAATTAATAAATAAATAATAAATAAATAAATAAATAATAAATAAATAAAATAAATAATAAACAAACAAATAAATTATAAATAAATAAAATAAATTACCATCAGGATCTGACCATAAAAGATCACACATGGCTCCATCATGAGGAACCTCTTGTTTTCGATCAATTGTGCGAATCTAAAATGAAATGAAATAAAATATCAAATAATCATAAATAATCAATTATCTAATGATCCAATAATCAAATAAATACCTGATCTATTGAATTAATATTAGGAGATAAACCTCCGTGCACACAAAATATTTTATCCTCAATGATGGCAGCTAAACTCATATAATCAAATATTTCACAACAATGTCTCCATACACAAATTGATCCATATTTTCGTAGGCATTCATCATAAAACCCATATACTTGAGTTATTTGACGTGATTCGTGATTACCACGTATTAATGTTATCCGATCTGGATATCGAACCTTTAATTTATTAGATTATTATTATTATCATTATTATTATTATTATTACTATTATTATATATATGTGTGTATATATTTATATATTATTTATGATATATATATTTATATTCATCATCACCATTATCATATATATATATATATATTTACCTTTAATGCAAGAAGCAATAGAAATGTTTCTACACTATAAAACCCTCGATCAACAAAATCCCCTATTAATTAAATAAAATCATAATGAATATTATGATGATTATTATTATCAGGATTAAATAAAGATTACTTACCTAAGAATAAATAATTGGTTTCCGGGCAATCACCTCCAACTTTAAATAATTCTTTTAAATCATAAAATTGTCCATGAATATCTCCACAGATCTATAAATAAATATTATTATTATTATTATTATTATTTATTAATTACTATGATTATTATTATTATAAATATTAAATATATATATTAAATTAAATATTAAACTAAATATTAAATAAATATTAAATTAAATATTAAATTAAATAAATTAAATATCAATTACACAAATAAAATTCCAAAAAAAAAAAAAATTCCCCTAATTTTTTTTTTCAAAATTACTATTACTACTTTTCCAAGAAGACGACGCATATATATATGGAATTGAATATATGTGCATATATATATAATTAAATAAATAATATTGATATTGTGATATTGTGATATTGATATTGTGATACTTGTGACATTGTACTAGGTGATGATGATTTTGATGAAAAAATAATTAATTATATATAATAGTCTTACTGTTACAGGCGCGTTAACTCTTTGTACATTACTTTCTTCTATTAAGATTTCTCGAGCTTTATTACAAAGTTCTTTAACTTCGTCTTCGGAAATAAGTTCGCAATTTCGTAATTTTTCTATTTGCCTTTTTTTTTATATAATATTATATAATCATCATTATTATGATTATATGATTTTTATGTGATCATGTATATATGATCAAATAAAAATTAGACAAGAAAGATTAGGTCGAATTGAAATTAAATTAAAAATTTCGATCAAAACTTTAAATAATTTAAAGGAATTAATTAATTCTTTTCGAATCCTTTATAATTTAAAAATATTGTAAATTTAATCTCAATAATAATTATTAATTAATTAATTCTAAATTATTATTACTATTATTTTTATTATTTTATTATTACTTAATTTAATTTAAATAACAATTACTCACACATCTAGATCGCTTAGTCCCATATCTATCAAAAAAAAAAATTTTTTTCTAACTTTTTTATTCGTTATTTTTTTTTTAAAGTATATCTAATTAAATGAAGAGATTAACTAATTAGGTCAAAAAAAAAAATTTATCAAATTCTTGGGTACAGAAAACGTGATCTATATCGATTTTAATTGGTTAATAAGATTTTTCAATTAGGGTCTCCTTTCCTATAAATACATGTCAAAAAACTGCAAATTTCTATTTATAGGAACAAACAAGCGTCAAAATTTATTACGTAATCATCATTGGCACTTTCACGTGACTCCGCGAACTAATTTCTGTGTATGTAAAATTTAATAAAATATTTGATTTTGAAATAAATAAATATTAAATTTATGCCTCTGTTATTTTTGGTTTCATGATTATTTATACATAATATTGTCAGTCATTTTGTAATCACAAAACAATTGTAACAATAGTAATACCTGTGTAATTCAAAAAAAGTGACATAATTAATTATGATATATGGTATAAGTAATTAAAATATATGGCACAATTAATTGCAACAGTTACAACTCTTATAAACAGCTATCTTCATTCAAGATTATATCTTATCTTCATCAAAAGAAATCTATATGATTCTATTTAAATAAATATTTAAATAATGAATATTATAAATAATACTAGTTTATCAAGATTTTTAAAAATTTTTAATAGACAAGATATTTAAACTTGATTATATGATTCAAAAGAATATCCTATCAACTATTTTAATGAATTGATCCTTAAATCAAACAAATTGGAATTTTATATAAAAATTAATATATAAGTTATAATTATACTTGTTACAAAAATAGTCTATTATAGTATTAGTAGAAATAACATAATTATATTATTTCCACTTAGCTTAAGTTATGACATGTGAATTACAAAATTCAAGTTATTTGAGTAATAGGTGGATCATAAAACTCAAGTTATTTGAGTAATAGGTAAGTTATAATATAGGTATTACCCAAATTCAAAATTCTAAATTCCAAATCCCAAATCCCAAATCACTAATTGCCAAAATCTCAAATTCTAAATTATGTCAAATCCCAAATCCCAAATATTATAAAAACTGAATTTTGACAGCTGAAATGTCAAAATAATTTGAGATTTGGGTGGCATATATAGGTTATAAAACTCAAGTTATTTGAGTAATAGGTGGATTATAAAACTTAAGTCATTTGAATCACAAAACTCAAATCATTTAAGTAATAGATGACTTGTATACTCTTTAGAAAGTTAAATTCAATATCAATAATGTTTTAATCACTTATATAAATTTTCATATATTGGCTTAATATTTTCATTGTAAAAAAATTTCTAAGTTAGGTTATGATGAAGTCTCCTAGTCCTTCTGTATTTTCTATTATAATTCAAATTCAATAATATTACTTATATACTAGTTTGATGATTGTAGCCAATTTTTATTACAATAAAATAGCTGAGATATGTTATGCTACCAGGTGGTAGCACATTTTGTATATTAGGTTACATGGGTAAAAAAATATGCTAATAATATATTCAATTACATGTCATCATTTATAAGTCTAATATGAGAACTATATCCAAATTAAGTATATAGTGTCCTTAGCTTTTTGATTAATTTCTTAATGAAGGTCAGAGTTAAGGCACATAGTATCAAAATAGTATTTGTGATCTAGCTTTATACAAAGGCAAACTTGATAAGTTAGTCTTAACCTAATTTGGCTAAATTTTTATAGACATTTTTTTTTATAATTAAAAATTTTTGATAAATCGATCTATCATATAAAAATTATGATAAAGCTTAAGTCAGCTTCATACTCCAGCTATCTTTATATTAAATATATTGCAATAAGTCAGTTTTGATTATATGTTCACATAATAATAATAAAATTAGATCATCGAAATTATCAAAAAATTTTTTGATGAACCTTTAAAATTTTTAAATTTTTTAAAAATTTTAAATAAATTAAGATTTAAAAAATAAATATTATTGTTATTTATAAATATTACTGTTACTAATATTTATTTAAATTTATTTAAAAGAAATTTTATAATAAATAAAGATTCAAATAAAAGAATATTATAATTAAACTTATCTAATAATAAATTTTTTATTCTTAAGAAAATTAAAAATGTGAAAAATAATAATAAAAAATGAAAAACAAATATTATTAAGACTATTAATATTCAAAAGAAGAATAAGAAAAATAATAAAAATATAAATAACATAGAAAATGAATGGATTTTAGAAGATATAGAAAAAATTAATAACACAGAAAGTGTAGAGAATGAAAAAGATACAAATAATTTTAAAGAATCTGATGATATGAAAAATGGAAAAGACTTTGAATATTTAAATAACATAGAAGATAAAAATATAAATTTGTGAAATTTTACAGATCCAGAAGATTCAGAGAATAATAATGAGAAAGGTAATAATGATGACAAGAATAATAATGAGAAAGGTAATAATGATGATGATGATAATCATGATCATGATGATAATGATAATCATGATGATGATAATAATAATGATAATAATGATGATGAAAATATAAATTTGTGAAATTTTGCAAATTCAAAAAATTTGGAGAATAATAATATTAATGAAAATAATAATGGTAATCATAATAATAATAATAATAATGATGATGATAATTATACACTGGTCAAAATAGGGAATATCGGATACCTATCGTATGCCTATCGGAACCTGATAGATATATGATAGGTGTTTGATATTAACAATTATGTAATATATCGAGCACCTAATTGGTGGGGTCGAAATGCAGAAGCTTGGATACTTATTGAACCCATATCGGTTTCATATTGGATATTAATATTTTGACATTTTATTCAAATTCATCATTTACATATCGGATACTTGATTTTATTTATTTTTTTTATTAGGTACATATCTTTTATAAATTGGTCATAGTATATTCCTATATATTGAGCATGGTATATCTTTATGTATTAGATAGTTTTTTTCCCTCTATCGAGTATCTATTAGTACCTTTTATTTATATATATATATATATTTTTTCACTTTTTTTTTATTTACAAATAATCATAATTTTAATTTATTATAAAAAAAGATAATAAAATGAAATACATTTATTATGAAAAATATAAAATGAAATATATTATAAAATAATCTATCTAATTATTTTTTTGATTTTTTTTTGATTTTTTCTTTTTTTTTTTTCTTTTTCTTTTTGTTTTCTTTTTTTACTACTAGTTTCTACTTCATGATCATTATTATTATCTTTCCATTTTCTTTTTTTACTACTTGTTCCTACTTCATGATCATTATTGTCATTACTATTATTATTATCATCATCTTAGTTAGTGGTATCTGGGTCATAGATCGGAATGATTCTATTTTTCCACTTTAATTTTCTAAGTGTTGCCATATTTAATATCAAAATTGAAGTGTTTTTTAGTATTTCGACTTCTGTTAGTGTATGTCGTGAAGATTTGATTTTAGTTTTTGGCACTTTTAGCAGTTTGCACACAATATTAATTGTTGGGTCGATTCTTTTGTGCAGTAACTTTTTTAGGTGTAAAAACATTATTACCATTGATCTACTTACCGAATCAGATCGTCACTATTTATCTTTAATAAAAATTGATATTGTTGTTTTATGTAAGCGGGTAGCAGTGGTGGCAGTAGTGGCAGTGGTAACAGCAGTAGAGATGGTGACATCCGTAGTAACACTAATTCTACTTCTACTACTACTATTACTATTATTATTATCATTATCATCATCATTATTATAATTATATAATAATGATAATATGTCATTATTATTATTATTATTATTATTGTTATTATCATTATTATTATCATTATTATCATCATTATTATTGTTAGCATGATTATTATTATCATCGTAATTATCACAATCATTATTATCATTATCATCATCGTAATTATCACGATTATCATCATCATCGTAATCATTATTATGATTATCATTATTATAATTATTATAATAATCATCATCACTAATATCTATAATTTCAAATTCTCCTAATGGATCTTGTTTTGTAAATTTAATAAATTAAATTAATTATAAACGAAATAATATAAATATAACTTGTAAA